TATATACATATATATATAGTGTTTTTCACTATATGCACAGCTGATTTGATAGCTATTTTGATTAGGGAGTAGCGTGCATATTTTTCTGGTTAATTCTAAAATAAAACAAAAGCCCTGTGAGTCAGATGACAAAGGCTCCATAAGGATACACACACCATCATATGTACACAACATATATTTGCAATCTATATATGCACCTATGGGTCTCTTCTGGATGAGTCTCTGAATCCTCCTAGACACTTTTGAGCTCTGAATTATTATACAATGCCTCACCATTCTCACCATTCACCATTCACAAACACTGAAATGATTTCTGATTGGCTGATCTGCTGATCCCTTTGATGATATATCAATAGTGATAGTAAACTAAACAAGCCGCTGCCCGGCTTCCCGATTGATCAGGAAGCTAGCAAATCCGGAAGCCGGGCGCCGTGTAATGACGCAGCGCTTGGCATTCTGATTAGCCGGGAAGCCGGCGTCATGCTCCCTCATCTCATGAATCACAATATTAAGAAAGTGAACTTAAAGCATTAGTTTGTATTGCTTTAGAAAAAATGTGACCTGTCCCTTTAAGAAAAAGTATCGGTAATTGGTATCTGCGAGTACTTGATCAAAAGTATCGGTACTCGTACTTGGTCTTAAAAAAAGTGGTATCGGTGCATCCCTAGTTATAACAGTTTAGTAATACTTTGCAAACAGGCAGTCAGCATGCGCACACCAGGTTTCCCCTTTGCACATGTCTCCTGCAGCTACTATAAGGGGTACATTTTTAAAGCAGTGAATGTAATACTCAGCAAACATTTACAAGTGGAATATTTCTGGTGCATATGATTACAGATTACAGATTACAGTACAGTTGTACAGATTGTACAGATTACAGTAAATGTGTGATGAATGCCACATTTACTGCTTTACAAATATGTTTCTGTTTTTTTGGCGGTGAGACAGAGGGAGTTGTTAACCAATATGCCAGGTTACTAATAGCTGATCAGTTGCCGAGTAGCATTTAACAAATCCACATCCGTAGAGCTTGGTGTTCACGAAAAGGCCTATTTAAAAGAACTTTGCAGAAAATAAGAACTTATTACTCCACAATGCGCTGCCCTTTTACATTTTATTTATAACAATGGACAGTGTGGTGTGAATCCAGAGTTGTCAATCATGTATTTTCTGCATAACATGGCAAAGAAATCCTCCAGATAGGGGGGAAGTCCTATTATATGACCTGTCAGTCATGTGACAGGTTTCCTCCTCCTTCCAGCACTTTGTTTCCCCAATTATGAGTACATGTACCGATACTTTTGAGCTCCAAGACTACACAAGAGAAAAATTCAAAAATTAGGAGGCAGCTGTCAATTGTAAGGAGCACACGGAGCTCCTGGGATTTGTACATCTCTGTTTTAATGTACGATTTTGTTTTTATAAATATAAATAAAGGGATGCACAGATACCAGTTTTGCGAGTACGAGTACTGGTACTTGCCAAGTACTTACAAGTACGAGTACTGATACATTTTTGTTTATTGTCTTGTGATAGTTTTTCTAAAACAATACAGACTAATGATTTCAGGACAGTGGTGGAGCACCAGAGCCAGGTCCCAGCTGCAACCACTGCAACCCTGGTAGTTCTCATGAAAATGCCAAGTATCTGCACTGGTACTCGAAAAGTATCTGTGCAACCCTAGCTTGTGTCAATGAGCTTTTGTTTGTTTCAAACAGGTTACAAGTTAATGGGAATGCAAAACCCACTAGAAAACAGGTCAGATGCAGGTCTATAGAGGGTCAACTGCAACTTTCATTGGATTCTGCATGATTTTAGATGTGTCTCAAACTCATGAAACAAGCACAAAGCCCATTGACCTAAACCCTAAAACAGACACCTGTTTTCTTAAAGCAGAAGTATGGCCGGTTATGTAAAGAGGTTTTTTCAAAAATGATTGTCTAGAGACTAGAGTCTTTTATGAATACATGTGTTTGCAAGCTGGAAACGTCTTACTATTATTTGCAAACTTGTATTGAAAATAGTTGTTGGGTAGTGGTTACCTATACAAGAAATATTTTACTTAAGCCCAGCACATGTGCTTGCTTTAACAGTTAGTTAGAAGAAAGCTACTTTCTTCTAGACATGTGCAATTCGTTTCGTTACGAATCGAAATTCGTACGAATTTTCCTGAAATTCGGAAGCATCCGCAATCCGAATTGCAGTTTCCGAATTATATCCAAAATACGAAATTCCGTTGAACAACATGACAAGATTTTTTTTTTTATCCGAAATACGGACCCGCTGCTGCTGAGGGTTGCATTACAATACAGGCAGGAAATACGAAATTCCATTGACAGAATTTCGTTCCGTTACGAACATTCGTTATGATGAAGTTAAAAAGCAAAATACCTTTGTTAATATTGGAGTTGATGAGTTTTTTTTTAATCCGAAATTCGGATCCGAAATCCGTTAACGGAATTCGTATTTCGTTTGGTTGACCAATCAGAGGTTTTCTCTTCTGTTGCTGAGAGTTGCATTACAATACAGGAGTTGATGGTAGTTTTTTTTTTTTTCTCCGAAATACGAAATTTGGACCCAAATTCGGAATTTCGTATTTCGGGTAGAAAAAACAACTACCATCGACTCCAATAATAGCAAAGGTATTTTTGCTTTTTGACTTCATCATAACGAATGTTTGTAAAGTTACGAAAATGTGCCGAAACTAACGAAAATTCGTATTTCGTACGAATCTGAATTGAGTTTCGGACACGAATTATGAAATAACGGATATTCCAAAACTAAACACATTTTTTGACGGCGCACAAGTCTACTTTCTTCATATTAGAGCCCAACTGCAGGCTCCCTATCACCACCTTTTAGCCAATCCCCCACCCCACACACACACTTTTTTCTTGTGATCTTCTTCCAGTAGTGGCCTGTAGTAAAATGATGCATAGATTATATAATGATGTCAGTTCCTCTCTCTGAATCATTACATTGTGGTGATGGACATTATGGTGACAACCCCTTAGGGGTCCATGACACCTTGCACTCACAGGAATGTCCTCAGTGTTCCAGACTGAATGATGCTAGACTAAATACATCTAATAGTACTGTCAAGTACCTTTAGAGGAGTCTGAGTTGACGAGGGCGGCCTCTCTCACAGCTCCGGTCCCGGAGCACCTGGATTGGTTACAGGGGCGCCGGGGCACAGAGGGGCAAGGGTGCCAGAGGCTGGTTAGCCTGTTGCGCCTGCGAGATTAGATGAAGTGCTTAGACCCGGGCAGGAAGCAGGATGTGGATGCACCGAAGAGGATCCAGAAGGCTTTAGATCCGATGAGCTGAGGAAGCTGGGAGCTGGAAGCAGAACACACAAGGCAGAAGGATCGTCAAGCAGGCCGAGGTCATCAATGAGCTGGCAACGTAGTACAAAGGGTGAGGCAGAATCAAGGTCAAAAACAAGCCGGGGTCTTCAGGGAGCAAGCAACAACAGAGGTTAGTCCAAGCAATGCTAACATGTATTTATATATTTGTAATATGTTATTTCACTTGGGTTTAAAGAACAAGGTCAGTTAAAGCCTTTCATGTTTATTTCAAGGTTCTGGAGCATATGCAGACAATTTTATTGGTGCTGCATCTACAACAGGGCATGGGGAATCCATAATGAAAGTAACACTTGCAAGACTTGTACTCTTTAACATGGAGAAAGGTAAGGGTTTTAGACAAGACACACGTTATGTCATCTAATAAAAATCTTCAGATACTGACCTTATCCTGTGCTAGGTGGGCATAATACCTAACTGGGATTGTGGAATGCTGGAAGCCCAGCCTTTTTACACAACAGTTATGAAATCATTTGTTAATCATTTCTCATTTGATAGTCATGCTGACCTTTGAGTACTAATTTAAGAAGTGCAGGGCTAATATGTAGGAAAGTCAACAGGTCAAAACTGCTAAAGATTCTGGCCTCCAGTATACAGTGATGAAAAATTGCATATATTCAGTAAAGAAGAAAAACCATAGGAATCATTTAACACAATCTCCTTGCAAGGTGATTCTACAGACATACTACTATCAAAGCTCATACATTATGTATTATTTAATCAATGTACTTCACAGCTTGCACATATTTCCATATTGCCTTAATTGTTAAATTGAGAGCATAATGTTTTGTTGGATGGTATTTACTTTAATTTATGTCTAAAACAGAGGAAGCACATCCAAGAATTAGACACAGACAGACAGGTAGTCAATTAATTAGATCTGATTTAGAAATCTGAACTATCATCTGCTGACATACACTCATTAGTGTTAAATATGTTTACTAGCTCTAATCACCACAACTGAAATATATTTGGTTATAAGCAGAGCTAGCCTGTTATAGTTTACACTTGCATGTGTATATTTTGAGGTTTCTATAACAAAAAGAAATAAAGTAAACACTGTGTTAAGTGGGAATACTCTGTTAGAAGCTGTCAAGTATTATTAAACATGATAATTTAATTAGCATGGTATCATTTCATAACCTGCAGGAACCAAACACAACATGAGGGGTTAACTTTACTAAAGATAAATCACTTTAGATAAAGGCAACCTATTGGTATTTCACAGAGATGGCTGGAACAAGTTGAAGTTATAGTGAAAGTGTGTTATGAATTTCCTGGACTGTACCTTTGGTTTTTCGAGGCAAGTCTTCTCCCATGAAGTCACACAACAGTGAGGTTCTCTTACTCTTAAAGGTGCCTACTACAGGCTCATTGTCAGGAGCATAAAAAAGCATAACAACAGTACATTCTGAAAATGCAATACACATTTGGTCAGAACAACCTCACGTACTATACACTGTGTACAGAATGTAATGACTCAAGAGGGGGTGAGAGGTTCCAGGCACCAGTCTAAGAGCAAGCTGGCTCTGAGGATCGGGTGAGAATATCTTTCAAAAATGAGCACTTTAACCTTTGCAGTGCAGTGGTAGATCCACTGCAAGGGTTAAGAACATATGTGCCCGGAGTTCTATGTTCTGTGTTGGGGCTGCACTGGAAACAATGGCCAGTGCAGCTCCAACGCATCTGGTGTGAATCAGCCCTTACTGCAGAAAAAAGAGCTAAGCACTAAATTAAGGCCCAATTTGTTCTGAGCAAAACAAGCTATGGCTACACTGAGTTGTTGCAAAGATATGTCCAGTTTTACTAACACATTCCAAAGTTGCAAAACTCGTGTGTGAACTCGTTAGGCCTTGTTCACACCGAAAGCATGTGCGTTCAAGAGCGGTAGCTGCTGGAACGCAGCGCGATCACTAAGAAACTTCCTCTTGCGTTTTGGGGCGGGAGTGGGCGTGGCGGTGCATTGTATTCAATATCACCGCTTCTACGCCCACCGTGCAATCGGGCAAACCCTATTTTTTTGCGTTTGCAGTGGAACGGAACGCTGGCAAAGTTTTACCATGCGTTCGATCGTACGGCGGGCGGGGGGGGGGGCGTGGAAACTGTGCCATTGAATTCAATGCACCGCCACGTCCCCTCCCGCCTCAAAACGCAGGGGGAAGTTTCTCACCGATTGCGGTGCATTCCAGAAGCCACCGCTCTGGAACACACATGCTTTTGGTGTGAACAAGCCCTTAAGGTTTATTTCAACCCTCGTTATATGGGGGCACCTTACATAAACTTTGTGTCATACATACTTGGGATCAGTTGTTAATTAGATTTTGCTCTTTTTGATACAGTGGTTTAAGTGTAATTATGATGTATGTATCTCTGGTATAGCAGCTTCAAGGTAATAAACATTCAACATATTAATGTTGTTTTTATAATTTATTGACCTCCTGCATGCTTCTAGAGTTGAAATAATTACCTTCTTATATTTTGTTAGTATTATAATTTTTTTAAATAAGGTATTGTAAATACTTAAAGTGGACCTTCACCTTCAGGTCACTTTTAGTTCCCTGCAATCCCCCCTCCCCCTTTAAAAAAAAAGTTGTTTACTTTTTTTTGTCTGGCCCTGCCCCCCCTTCCCCATTCTCAATTGGCTGTGCATCATCAGGGGCTGGCTGCAGAGGCCAGAAGAGCTACCAGAAGACCCAAGCTGTGACAGCAGATCAGTGGATAAGAGCAGGACAGCGCTGGATTTGCTGCCCAGGATAGTATGTTTTCTAATGACAACCCAGCATAACAGGTCTGAGGGGATACGGGCGAAAAAGCAGGAGAAAACAAACAAAAAATGAATAACCCATAAAAACACTTTTTTTTTGTTCATGTCCTTTGTACAAATGGACAAGCAATTTGACATGTATATCTTTCTTTAACTAGGTGAAACTCCACAGGATGCAGCAGACCATGCCCTAGACTTTATGAAGAACAAGGTGCAAGGCAGAGGTGGCTTAATAACTGTGAGCAAAACTGGAGAATGGGCAGCAAGATTTACTACGAAAAGAATGGCATGGGCCAGTGTAGAGAACAGTATATTAACGTATGGACTCAATCCTGGAGAAATTTTCCATGAAACCATAGATCTATCAAATATAGTGATCTGAATTTAACATCCTGTGTAATGAGTGGTTCATATAATAGTCATAACATATAACATTTCTAAAAGAGAAACACTAATTGCCTGGTAATTTAGAGTTGGTTAGGCTTTCACTGGTTGTTTCATAAATTGTACATTTAGTATTTTGTTCATACTGTCCTTGAAAGCACAACATGGTAATTTCCAAAGTTGTTATGTAACTTGTGATTATATAACAAATGCATTTTTTTTATTTAGGTAAGAAAGAGAATCATAAACAAAGAAATTGTATTTGTAATACAAAATAAAAGTTACAGTAGAACTGAAGCTAAAATGGTTTTCTTTTAGTTTTGGATTGAGTAAGGGAGGGTTATAACCCCTGTCACCTTTTTTGTGATCTGTTTCCCTTCATTTATTCTTCGATAGCCACAACAGGAAGTGAGGTAGTCAGCAGGGTCACCAGAACTAATGTAATTGGAAGATTTCCCATCTATTCTTGTTTTGACAACAACAACCCAACATTTGGGATTTTCTTTACATTCACTTCCAGTGGTAACATTGACCAGAACAAATAGAGAGGGTGATTCTCTCTAACAGGAAACCAGACAGGACTAAAAACCTAGCCAAAAATCCATCCCACACCTGTGCCTTTCTATGCCAACTAGAAGGTGCATGGCCTACAGTGAAACCTTTTAAACCATTTAATGACAAAAATGGCAAGCACACAAATGTTTAAGACTCCAGATGTTTATTACGGTCAACAAGCAAAAATTAAAACAGTGCAAAGAGAAAAACAAAACCACCAACGTGTCAGGGACACAGAAGCTCCCTTAGTCAAGCTGTCACCTTTTTGTTTTTTGACCTTAGTAAATTAAAGGCTAAGTGCATGCTTATGACCATGTTTCATGTTACACACATATTTAGGGTGTAACATAAGACATAGTCAGATCATAACCCCCCCAACCCACCACTTACCTGAATTGCGGCAATCTTCTCTGCTTACATTTTGTTTGGCTTTGTGTGGCTCTACCCACACAGCCATGACATCCATTCACAGATCTTTTAACAGGATATGTGAATAGAGAAACTAAAAGTCCCATCTGCCACCATTTCAATGGAATACAAATGCCATGACATCACCACACTTGTAATCTGTTGACACTTCTTATTTCTGTTATTGCATGTCTGTACCTACCTCAGTAGAGACATGCATGGGAGCAGCAGTCTGCCGGAGCCAGAGCATTGCACCCGTGATCTACTGATCACAATTGCAATGCTTTAGTGGCTCCTATGCAAAAAAAAAATAATAGATGCAATTTTTTTGTTAATGAACTGTGGATTTATTGTTTTTTTTTTTCCCAAAAAGAGACATTTCCGGCTTGTGTGCTGCCCATCATGGTCATTTCAGAAATAAAAACCTGACCGGTGTTCTAATCAACCTCTACTCAATTAAAAAGTAAAAAATAGTTTTGGCTTTAGTTACACTTTAAACTTTATTGTCCTCTGGGTACGCTATGCCTTTTGCGAAGCGTATCAATTCTCATCCTGCAGAATGATATAAATACTAAAGCCCCTGCATAGAACAGGTTCTTATATTGTGAATAATGCAATAGCTATTTAATCATTTTGAACAAGTTACATTAACCAATCAATAATGTATAAACAATCTTTTTCTGGTACTGATGGAAAATCTGATTAAATTAAACAAAATCACCTTTTTCCTTGTTTATTGAAAAGATGGTTTCATCTTGATCATTTTAAACCAGTGGTTCTCAACCTGTGATACCTCAGGACCCACATTTGTCCTTGCTCATAAAGTCGTGACCCAAGTCGCACTGCAACGGTGTGGATGATCAAACTGTGGGCAGGAGGTGCATTTGGGTTGCCATTCAAAATGAAAATGAATGGCAATGCAAAGCACCATCAGTACAGGAACACGATCCACCCAGTCTCCCTACCTTACGAGAACTGGAGTGGACCCTCAGCCTCGGGTCCAGTGTGAGCTGCTGTGCTGTGACGGAGCTCCATTCATTTAGTGCATTGCTTGTACATCTCCCTTGTGTGCCATGTAGAGGTGACAGAAGCCTGATGTCACTCCAGTCCAGGCACCTCTACAGGGCATGTGATGTAGCTGTAAGCAATGCACATATAGATGGAGCTCCCTCGCAGCCATACCCCCAGCCCAATTCACCTTAAGCTGATACTTAGTGCCGGGCAGCATATTTTAAATAGCTGCTTGATGCGAGAACTGACAGTGTTGTGCTAGGGGGAGGCTGAGGACCCTCTCACCTAGTGCAGTGGAAGGCATATGACGACCCACTGAACATGTGGTTGTGACCCACTATTGGGTCGCCACCCACTAGTTGAGAAACATGGTTATAAACAATTAAATCTATTGTTCAATGAATGTTTGCCATTAAATGTATGGGCAGCACTAGGCTTATTTCACATCTACTGGCAATGTTTGAAGTATCTCTAATAGTATCATTGTTGCAACATTTTGTGCATACAGTATAAACATTATCATTTTTTTCCTAACATATTAATTACTGGTTATGAATGTATAAACTTTTCCTTTTATTTGTACATTCACGTTAATCTATTAAAATGGTAATTCTGTGTTATTCTTACAAAGTTACTCCATTGTGTAAGCAAGAAGCCCATTTCTACAAACTGCACTCACTCTGTAAAAGAAACCGAGATTATTTTATAAACAGCATGTCTCTATACTGAAGTAAACAATGTGAATGAGGACATAAATGATTCAAGGAGAATGTGTTCCCAAACCATAAAATAATTGTCCGTCTGCTGCTACATTTGAATGGTACAGCTAAAGCTATTACGACTATACTAATTGGTTAATGGGTGAAAATGTTTTGGTTATTCAGCCCATGAAAATAGCTGTATTATAGCACATCTGTAAGAGAAGTTGAACAGAAAAATATTGTTTAGAAAAAGGAAGGTGAGACATTTCATTAGAAAGTTTTCCTTACAAACAGATAATTCTCAGTTATACTTAAACTATTGTGTACTGGAGAATTTGCATAATAGGTGTCTAAATGCATGAATAAGAAAATGAATAGGTCATTCATATAGTATAATTGCATTCAAAAGCATTGCATCATACTTACTTTATGAGCACAATGTTCAGAACACCTTACCGTATGTATTCTGATATATTTTTCTCTGCTATTGTGGATGTGAGTAGGTACAAATGTACCTGTAATGAACAACTGTTGGATACTATTTATTCAATCACACACTACACCTACTCACTAATGGAAATATTTGCAATTATGTACGTTACACAATACACTTTTATACAGGGCTCAAAATTTCAAGTCCTGAGCTACTAGCCAGGCCTTAAGAGTTACTCGCCACCAGTCGCGCCACCTGACCCCTACCTTGCCCCGCCCTTAACTAATATTTACTGATAACTGTGAATCAAAAAAAACTTCCAGATTTTTTTAAAAGTGTGTGTACAGGCATTACCCAAATTTATCCCCAGACTTTACTCTCCCCTGGTCTATTCCAGCATTATCCTGTAATGAGAAACAGCTACTCCCTGAGAAATCATCACCAGGACCAGGAACTATTCTTGCAGCGGCAGCTTCTGGGTGTTCTGTGGTGTTCCTATTGACGTTGGCATGCCCCCAGAACTACATACCCCAAGAGTCTTTTCTCCACACACAGTGTGTGCGCAGTCTCTTAGGAGTCAAGGCAGTACTATTGCTTTGCTTGTTAAGACATCAATGTATGCATGTGGAGTAAGACAGACATAGTTGGAACAGGCATAGTTCTGTAGTCCAACAGGCAGGGTTGACAATGCTGGTTGGTATTTCAGTGCAGAATATGCATTGTGTTCTCTATGGGGTGATTCACAAAGCTGCCTAGGGCAGCCGTGTGAATAACTGACCCGAAGTGAAGTAACACAAACGCTGTTTGGCTATTCACTTCAGGCTTACACGGCTGATTTCAGCCGTACACCGACTGAAATCAGCCGTACATCGGCTTGCTGCGGCTGGGTTCGGGAACAGCAGTGAGTGAATAGAGCAGTGGCCGAACAGCAGTGAGTGAATAGCCGAATGTCGCCGAACGGCTATTCTGCTCGGTACCTCTGTGGTCCCGAACATAATAGAAAACAGTTTAAAAAAGTAGAAAAAGAAAAATAGAAAACGATTAGCAGAGCCGGAGGTGTATTGAAAGCCGACTCTGCTGAGTTCTCATGCTAGGTTACGTAGTAACCAGTAACCAGTTACGTAGTAGTAACCAGTTACGTAGTAACCAGGGGAGGCTCATCTGTCAGTAGCATGAGAACTCAGCAGAGTCGGCTTTCATATCACCTCCGGCTCTGCTAAACTCTCATTGTAATGCAAGGGAGAGAAAGCACCCCCCTGAAATGGCAGATAGCAGAGGAAGCAATAGCTTATTTGCTATCTGCAAATTTCTTTTTTTAGTATTCTGACAGCTGCAGCCGTCAGAATAAAAAAAACAGCATAGGAATGCATAGCTAGATTCCTATTGGCTATTTCAATTTGCAATATCCAATAGCAAGCTGGCTATGGCACCAGCCCTCTGCTGCTGTCAATCACTAGAAGAGGACCTGATGGAGAATTTCAGGTCTCCTCTGTTGATTGACAGCAGCAGTGGGTGGGTGCAATAGCTAGTTTGCCATTGGCTATTGCAAAGTGAAATAGACAATAGGAATGTAGCTATGCATTCCTGTGCTGTTTTTTTTTCTGACTGACGGCGGCCGGCGGCTCCGATGTCAGAAGCAAAAACAACAGAGGAGGGAAAGGTTTACTCTGCTCGATCAAGCAGAGTAAACCTTTCCGGGAGAAAGTGTTTCTCTCCCTGGTGGCCGGGAGCCGCTATCTAATAGCGGGAGACTCCCGGAGCGTCCAGGAGAGTTGGGATGTCTGGTAATGACAGATCAGCGTCCCTGGTAACCTGGTAACCAGAGACCCTGATCTGTCTCTGCAAGTGGCCGTAGTCAGCCGTGAGATGATGGCTAGCTCCACCCAGCTGTCA